GGACGGAAATATTACGTAAATCGCAATTGAAAATGAAAACATCAATGATTTTAGGTATAAAGTCATCAGTTATCCGAATTGCATTACATTTGATATTTTCCCACAAAACTGTCAAAATTGTATAATTCCCGACAATTTGCTTTCAAACACATGCCAGATCGCCTCGTTTGGCCATATCCGGACATGCGCACAATTATCGCGCGCGCAAAGGCAGCTGATCGTTGTCAGTTTACTTTGGCGAAGTTCAACGCAATATCGTTCTATTTTCAACATCTTCACGGCATGCTGGTGTTTATTTGGTAAGTATGTCCTTCATGTATAATGAAAACGTAGGAATGTTGTTTAAATCTAGCAGGTCAATGTAGCAAGAAACTCCGAATTAGGGCTCATGTTTTATCTCACAAGGGTACCGGTATGTCACGTACATGTTTCTCAAAATTTAGTGGAAGCCCGTGTTTTCCATGAACTTGTTTTGTTATTTTTCAATATATTTGCATGCATATATTTGGCATTTTATTATATAATCGAATAAGATTTCCTTTCGTACCCATCACCTGATTTGAATTTTGCAAATATACATTTTCAAATAATCAATGAAGTACATCAATATAAGGGACCATTCATAATTATATGGCTGCGGGTGGGGTGATGATTGTATGGGTGGGGTGGGGGTGTCACCCATTTTGTTCAGGGGAGCTAAGGGGTCAGCATTTTTGTACACACGCACTATGTTTAATATGATGCTTAGAAATTATGGGAAGGGGAGAGGGCGTCATAGATATTGTACATGACATGCAGGGTGGGGCGTCACTTATTTCGTACATACACTTTACGGGGGGGGGGGGGAGGGTAATTCACATTGTACATGCTTCTTCATAAAAATCATCATCACCCCCAAGCCATACATTATGAACGGTCCCTAAGGGCAGCTATACAAAATCGAATAGAATTTATCAACATTTTATATTGCATCACATTATTATGAACATTTGTTCGTTTGAATAAGTCTATCAGTAAATTATGCATTGAGCACGCTCTGAACCCTGTCAACATATGCATATTATTTGGGGGTGGGGGTGGAGAATGGCGAAAGGAAATCTTTCTCAGATCATGCAACGAAAATTCACATCAAAATGTCTTGTGCAAGTCTTTGTTAAGGATGAAATTGCATATAATTTATTTGAACTTTTATTTATTTACAAAATGTGTAACTTCACTAATGATTCTTTGATGGGACAATTAACAAAACTGCACTCACAGACTTTCATTCTTACACTTGTTTGGAAGGGATGTGATGATTCATGTCTCTTAAAGGTTAAAATGTTACATACAAAAGAAGTAATTTAGTAAGGAACATTTAATTATGAAATAAGATATAATTTTAATGGAATTTGCAGAAATCTCATCTTCGAAGACTGGGTGGCATCAATTTTGTGGATCACATAAAAGGAGCAATGCTAAGGTAACAAGTTTTTAACATTTCACTTGTTTCCAGTATATCCACCACAAAGGTTGATCATGTAAGAGAATAATTTGACAATGATTTCTCCGGAGATGTTTAGTTTAATGAGCACTCCCTTGCTTGGCGCCATATTGTTTTTCGCCGTAAAGAGCTGGATGCGAGAAAGCACATGAGAGGACAGAAGTCATAAATTTATAGAGATATATAGATGTTTATTGCTGGGAGACACACTCTTCAGGTATTTGGTCAGCTGTAGAATTTGAATATGATGTTTCTTTATTATTGTCAAAGTGTAGGTTTTTCATTATTTTGCATTTAAATGTGTGTGCAGTGAAACATACTGAGATTTGGAAGAGTCCATTATTTAGAGTACAGGTATTGTTAGATATCAGCATTTTATGTACATGTTCCCTTGTCAAGATCATCTATCGAGTATATTAGAGAGGTGTATATTTGTAGTGTTTTAAATCAGAGTTATTTTCAGTGTATGACCTACATTTCAATATGTTTTGGCCACCTGTCACCCCTTTGGTCAAATAGAGTAGGACTTCCATTTCTTGGAATTGAGAGTCAGAGATACACTGTTTCCAAGAATTTGCGTGTGCCAGCGATGTTTGTTTACGAGTACATTTAAGTCTTTTTGAGTGTAGATTGGAGTTGTAAGAGATGTTATTCAGTGTCTTATTATTCAGGGTATGATAGATTATTTCTGGCAGTGTAGAGTTTAATCTCATTATTTTATTGTTCATGATTCAGAGAAGCATAGTTATGACGTCGCAGATATTATAGGCACACATAATTCATTATATGAGAGATTTTCTAAGCGTTCCTATAAGAGATTAAGTGTAAACATTTCTGAATTATGAAGAAGTTATTTATCTGAGTTTTATGAGTGTACAAATGACAAAGAGAGACAGAGTAGATAATAGGGAATATATTGTATACTTATGAGAGCTCATTATTGTTTTCAGAACTCCATGATCCATACTTCCTTGTGTTTGGGAATAAATGGTGTTGGAAGACCTCCCACAATAGACTTGTTCTTTGACCTGTGAACCACCACCCATTTTGTTTTCTTATCATTTAATGTAAAATGGCTTTTGTTACAATTTATGACTCCTGTTAGCAAAATTGCTACATCAGTACAACTCCTATTTAATTTGAAATAATCGTTTCCGAGAATCTCTAAAGAAAACTAAATCTGACAGAATAACAACAATCTTCCATTGTTTTGCAGGACAATGTCAAACAATTTGATGTCAAGAATGAATGTTGATGGGCAAAACGGCAAGTTTTCTTTTAAGAATACAAGGTTGTATTCAATCATCTCTGGTAATTTAATTACCAAATGCAGCATTTTCATCATGACCATAGCAAATAATATATGACAGTAAAGCATCGTCTAATTCATCCTAATTCATAGTCTAATTGAATAATCAACTTGCAATTGAGGATTTTCTTTGAAAATGTTTAAGAAAACTTCCATTCCTTTAGTTGAAAATATAAATTGTTTACATTTTTCGTCACATTTTGTATTGATGCTGTTCATATGTTCACATGGCAAGTTACAGCAGTGAAATGAACCTTTCAAGTGATTGATTAAACAAATACTTGAATCATTTAAGACAATATATCTTCCATATAAAATTATTCATGTATTTAAATATAAAATTTCAGAATGTGTCCTATCTCATGGGAATGAGATGGGAATGCATCCGAAGCAAATTTCAAGAAAGAGTTAGGAACGTTTCTGAAGTATCCACCTGACCGCCAGGCAGGGAGTGGCAGAAAGAAGAGAAGCTGTATGTCAGTTTAATGCTATATGCAGATGATATTGTGTTATTATCACAACAGAGATCACCTACAGACTATGTCATGTGTGATGTTTTACATTATGCTTTAAACCACGTTTCTCTGTGTGCGTTTGTGTTCATAAAGATTTCATAAAAAGTGACTGGTTTTATGTGCTGTCTTCAGGTATAGTTCCTGTTCATCTTGGATCCCTTTCATGGTGAAAGTAATTGCATTGTGTTTATTCAGGGGTCTGTCTAATAGCTGAAATTCAGACAAAATGTCTTCTCGGGACAATTTCCACCTTTTCAAGATAACAATACAACAGTAAATAGTTTTTCTTAATTTGGAATACTCTTTTCTTCTTACTGGAATTATACGTCCAACTGACATAAAACTTAAATGAACATTATATTGAATGTGGAATTTTAACCAAGTATTTTATCAGGTAAATATTTTTACTGCAATTTTATGTTTGAACACTGTTTATTGCAGGTAGCTTTTTGGGTATTTTAGCTGGATGCATGAGTTTGGTGCTACTTTAGTGTAGTTTAAAGATGAAGTGCGAGTCTATTTACAGGAAAGCGTAATACCTCCCAGACACAACCACGGAACAACCCATTTTCAACGTTAATAATATGTCAAACTTCAACGTTGATTCCACGTCGGATATCTACGTCTAAAAAACTTTCATATACAACCACGGAACAACCCATTTTCAACGTTAATAATATGTCAAACTTCAACGTTGATTCCACGTCGGATATCTACGTCTAAAAAACTTTCATATACAACCCTTTTTTCAACGTTGATAATAGGTCAAACTTCAACGTTGATTCCACGTCGGACATCTACGTCTAAAAAACTTTCATATACAACCTATTTTCAATCTAATTTCAACGTTGAGGACCAACCTATTCTCAACGTTGAAACAAAAGTTGGAAACTATTTCGCACAATGTTAACACATGTTAACTCAGTTTGTCATTTCTGTAAATACCTGTACCACATTTTATAGCTAAAATACATGGAATTATCATGAAACGGCCCTCCCATTATCAGAAATTTGCTGGCCGCTGCAAATGATATTGGACCGCTCAACCTTAATGACGGGCCACTATCAGTTTTGTTGTCCAGTAACGTCATAGTGGATGCGTGGGCTTACGGTTCATTCGACATTGGCTTTGGACTGGCAGATATTCTGGGTGAAACAAGTCAAAGCAACCCGAATTCCCGCTTTAAATAGCAGTAATATTGGCTTTCTTGCTGGTGCTAACCTCAACAATTCCACTATTAACGTTGTTGTTGGACCAAAACCGAACACTGACATAGTTTGACATGTTGCAGGCTATGGTCTTGTCAAAGGCCAAGGTCGAATATCGTCACTTTCTGTTGTGACGTCACTTGAATTGTTCGATGACGTAATTGCATTCGGGCAGTCAACCCCGTCAGAAGTTGGTTTTGAGTAAACTTACAGTCAAATTCCTTCATTGTTTCCTTTTTCTTTTCAACACAAATTCCATGTATTTTAGCAATAATAACGGTAATGCTGTTTTTGAGGGCATTATCATTTGCAGAAGCCCTAGGTCTTTTTCAACTGCCCGACGAAGGAGGGCAGTTAATGGAAGACCTCGGGCTTCTGCAAATGATAATGCCCTCAAAAATAGCATTACCCTTATAATAGTAAACATGTATCTACACAGTATGGGGACACTGGGCTAATTAAGTTGAAATTCAATAACGGGAAAGAAATGGGCAAGTGTTCAATTGAACATCTATTTTTAATGAGTACAATTCACTGTTTAGGCGTCTCTAAGCGCCATATGTGACCCTGTAGACCATCACGCTGCCCGTGCTGACCGACACAGCCAACCATCGGCCGTGGTCAGTCTTCTGGAAGGAGATCCCCACACCATCCCGGAGACATGACCCGTCAGGCATCACGTCGCCCATGCTCTCATCCAGGCTGTTCACCCATCCGATTCCTCCGTTCTTCAGTCCGCAGAAAAATACATTTCCATTGCCATCCACAGTGACCCCTCTGAGCCGAAGTGTCGTATCAGCCACAGGTATTCTCTTTACTCGTTGGTCCGCATGTATACGGAACAAACAGTTCCGTCCCGAGTCGGACACTAACACCGAGCTGGGGGACTCGGTCGCCATGTTATAAGGGTTCTCAAAACTGTTTCTTAATGATTCAATGTAACAGCAATTATTGTAGCCTAAAATGTCCACGGTATCTGTTGTCCCGGCCAGGATTTGTTTGATCTCCGATAGATGCGCGATGCCGAAATATCTCCTTTTGGTCGTATGCATTACTGTCAAAAACTTCACTATACCTCCCCGTAACTTGACAGTGATCGTGGCGATCTTTTTCAAAGACGGCAGCGTGACAAGGACCGTGTCTTCGTCCTTACGGCAAATTCCTTGTATCCGACCAGCGTCTTTGCCGATTTTATCGAAGTAATGATCCCCTAGAAAAGTTCCTTTTTGGCAGAAAGCCTTCAGACAGCAATTGGCCCAATCCGCGGCCAATATGACACCTGATTTCAGTACCAACACCGACCTGATGTCTGGACGCACCTCGTCACCCTTTACACCCTCAACAGTACAGGAAAACTCTTTTAGGAGGGAAAACCTGGGTATATCACCGTCACGTGGAACGTTGTCATCCACCTCCATTCCATCGGTGTCCGACATCTCAACGTCAACGCTCGACCCTTCCTCGGGGATGTGGACGATGTTCCTGACGTCATGAGACGCAATATTTGTCGCCATCTGAAACATCAAATCACAAGGTCACTTACAGTGGGTGAGTGAGTCAGTTTGGTTATACGCCGCTTTTAGCAATATTCCAGCAATATCACGGCGGGGGACACCAGAGGTCACTTACATCTACGTCTCAGGTTGCGACATTGTCTTGACAACAGACATGCCTTTAAGAAAGTGAATTACATTGGGACGGCGCTTTTGGGGGAAACTGCGGTGGCTGAGGGAGTAGATCAATGGCTCTGTGTACTGATGATTTGGCCTCTCACTTGACTGTGTGGGTTCGAAAACCGGATGGGACCCAAAAAAGCACTAGAATCTACACACTTAAAAAGTGTAATCCCAAACATACAACAATCGTTACATTGTCTTGTGAAGATGCAAACCTGGATGGGTGTAGTTTATACACACGTTGAATATACTTTATCCAAACACATATCATTGTTCTTACTTTTTCCTTGTTTTTACAACTTTCGAAATCAGTTCAAATTATCAAATCATAAGCGTTGAAACAAAAATGAACTTTACAAAATCCGACACTCTTGTAGAGTTGCTTTATTTGATGTTCAGATTGTACCCAAATCATGTCGAATTTGAAGTAAAACAAATCGTGCATAATTAATTAAGCCAGAGATTATATAAATGTGAACAATAGTTATTGTTACTTAATCGGCCAAATAACCAGAGTCAAGTGTTGATGATATTTCTTCCACGTAGATTATAATATCACATGAGTAAATGAAATTATATTGTATGGATGAAAGTATCATTGTGGTTATCACCTACGAAGATGTAAGTATCATCTCCGAGAACAATGTATCATCTACATGCCAACAAAAATAGAATCAAGAGTACTTCTTCGTGATCAGCTGTGCATGCTCAAGGCCGAAAGGTCAACCTCATTTCTACTTTCATTTTCGCGGTAAAACCACATCGTATTAAAATGAAAGTAAATATTCTCAAATGGTTTACATTATAGTTTTAAGGAGATTCACGAGTATAATCCAAGAGTGTTGGTCTATATCTCCAAGTAAAAGACTTTCACATACGTTGTATTCACTGTACAAGTCGGTAGCCAAGCTGAGCAAGTCAGTATAACGATATACAACCCGCTGATACAGGTGCCGTTTGGACTGGTTAGATGGATGTACAGGCCAGTGGTTATACAGAGCTAATTTGTTATTGTAAACGACACGATTTGTATTTAAATACAGGTTGTATTACACGTTAACACTGTCATCATGGGTTGACAACCTTGACAACGACATTAGAACCTATGTCGAAACGTCGCCTATACAGAATAAAGAAGTTGTATATCCACACAAATTGTCCTCATTCCTGATCATGAGTTTCGTTAGAACGTGTGACAAAGGTGGGTAGACCTTTTAGACTGGATGCAGCCGATATTTCCCTGGCGCTTGCTGGGAGATATTTAGCTAGTAATCACACAACAGTTCAAGACACCAACCTTTAAAAATCACAAACAGCGGCCACAAAGTAACGGTGTTAAATCGAAAGTCCCTCGAAGATGGCGATAAAACCTCAGTAGGCTTCAAAGGAAGAGCCCACAATCTAATGCGTTGTCATTTACAGAAGGGGGGTAACTGCTGTTGGAGTACGTGTGGATGCTGTTGGGATTTCCTAACTTCTATTTCCATCTCCACACAGCAAAGAAAGGCTCGCTGATTGAGCGTGCGGCGTAGAGAGTTTCCTGCACTACATCTTGATTTGGAATAGTTCGTGAGTGAGTTTAATTTTACGCCGCACTCAGCAATATTCCAGCTATATGGCGGCGGTTTGTAAATAATCGATTCTGGACCAGACATCCCAGTGATCAACAGCGTAAGCATCGATCTACGCAATTGGGAACCGATGACATGTGTCAACCAAGTCAGCGAGCCTGACCACCCGATAACGTTAGTCGCCTCTTACGACAAGCATTGGTTACTGAAGCTTAAGGTACATTCTGGGCGGATCCATTCATTTTGAAAGGGGGATGGGGGTGTGGGGGTGGGGGTGGTTTCAGGTGGTTCGAACCCCCTGAACACACATACACACACTGCAACGCAAAATTTTCTTCAATGTGGTCTTAAGTCATTTTCCCGAACCCCCTGAACCCCACCTCTGGATCCGCCAATGGAATGTATATGCAGCGAACTTCGGAGTTTTTCACACAACATTTGATCGTGAAGTGATTATTTGGCAGGTGACTTGAGGTGTTGTAAATATTGCATTTGAAGAAAAGAAATAGGTATTGTGTTCGCCAAAGTATTGCTACTATTCGTATAACATAGATTATTTACGATACGAAAATATTCGGCTGTTATCTGGTCAATGTACTGAGCTTACGAGACCACTTGGAGAACATGCAAAAGGTCGTCCATGTTTGACATTTTGGCGACGTTGTCACAGAGAACATAGATTTGGGCTGAATCATTTTCTGGCACATTTAATGTTTACTAGTTTCAAGGTCACGCTGTTTTGGATTTATCCCCTGCGATGTTATTTAAATAAAGAGTTATATGTCACTTGACACTATGGGGTATTTCTGATGAGTGTTTAGGGCGTGTCAGCTTACTGCACTGCCCAGTGTGGACTGGATGCCTACTGAAAGTGTCGTAGCTGGAGGTTAATAAACCCTACAACATGTACAGTTACCTACTAATTATGGCCGTTCCACATTGTCAGGGGAGATCTTAGCTCTGGCGTTCTACTCGCTTGGTCCGTTGCAGGATGCTAAGTCTCGGAGTGAGGGGTCGGGCGACCGTGACTCCTAACTAAGCACATTTCAATCATGTACTGGCACACATACATTCACAGATAACCGCAACCCCAGGTTCTATACTCACATATGTTTACTCTGTCTCAGTCCATCTCTCTAACTACAACTTCAATACAAGACTAGGTCTCCATGTACCACGCGGGGGAACTGAGTGGCGTTGGTTAGCTTCCAACATATTGAGCAGACAACCCGCATACACTGAGCTCCTAGTGCCAAACATGTCTTTTTAAACGGTTCGAACCTAGCCTGACTTTGTGGTCACATGCTTCAACTCATCGTTTTGATTACGACCCTGCACTCACGTCTTTCGTGATAGGATGAATATTGTGTCTCGTGATTGAATGAATATCGGGCAGCACCGCTCGGTGACTCACCCCTTTTCATTGATTTGTTATTTGTTTTCATGTAAGCTGAATCTGTTATGTCTTTCCGACGAATGTGTTCTGCTTCTACTTTCCATAGTCTACGGCTAAACGCCATTCTCTCGAGACTTTCTGTCTCCATACCTAACCGTTATGACTCATGAGCCAAACTGCAAATCTACATACGGAATCTGATGTAATTCTCAAATGGTTTAGGGATGCAGTTTTACCTTATAACAAAAGCCATACCATGGCTCATACCGCGAAGCTCCCAAGAACGACCACCAACACTCAGCCGGGCTTTGTCATAGAAAAAACACAACCAAGTGATTGTCTTGCTATCATCTTCAGTGCTTGGGACAGTGAACCAAGTTGTCAGGGTATTAGGTGCACGGTTACATCCATTTGATTTTGATTTCATGATATGCTGAACACTGATCAAACCCCAGATGGGTGAAGATGATTCTTTGTTTCTCAGAACTAAAAGGTGGAAGTGAAAAGTCTTGCATGATAAGCTCACCTCAAGATGGAGGGCAGTAAAGAAAGCACAACACACTCCCTGACAGTTGGTACAATCATGTTTTATTATCTTGCACTGACCTTGACATCTGGAGCCATCTGGTGGCGACCCAGAACCAACATATACACTATGTACAAAACAAACTGTATACATACCGTGTTCACTTTAGTAGGGTAACAGACGTTTGGATTCACCTCCACTTAAGGGCATTTAAGCATCATCTGCATTTCTTGAAGAACACACTTTTATACCTCAAAATTGTTGAAAAATGCATGTACACAAAGTCGTGTCAGAATTTTGAATTTGTGGATGCCTTCCGGTTTCTAGAGCCTTCAAAAAGTATTAACACTTTCAGCTTAACTGTTTGGAAACATCATTATTTCATTAGTTCAGAAAAGAAAATTTTACTTCCTCAGAAAACACTTTTGTCTCTGTTGGACATGATGAAATAAGAACCAAACAAGTGCCTCTTCAGGCGAAAATCTTGATAAAATACATATTCAAAGAATACAAAGAGTTTTTTTTGTAAAACATTGGCAACGTTTGTGCATTATGATAAACTAAGCTATTTCTAAAAACAAAGGAATGAAATGACAAATTTACAAAACATGACTGACTTGTGACTGATAATAAATGCAAATCATCATACATGAAAATATACAGATCTCCAGGACAGTCTGACAGCTGACCACTTGGACACAAACCATTGTCAGACAGAAATACACAGCTGGTGAAGTCGGTAACATCACATTCAACCTACAGATAAGCAATGTGGGTCAAACATCTCACATAAACAATAGTTCCCAGTGTTACATAAGGCATACATCTATAAGGGGTACACCCCACAGGCGGACTTGTGGAAGGGGATAGTGTGTAAACAGACAAACTTTTAAAGTGATCAGAAACAAACTAGGACAAACACATTTATGTTTATAACCTCAAATACAGTCCAGGAACTGGTTCGCTATCAAACTGGAAGATACAAAGTTTTTTGGAGACAAAAATATAACCTCTAGAACAATAACAGAAATTTGACTTCACGAAAATACAAAAGAAAAATAACATCGATGAGTAGACAAAACCAACCTGCAACTGCCAAAACAATGTGGGCGTTCAAAACACCTCCCCCACGTCCTGATTTTGTCCATCACTGTCACCTCAGCATCCAGTGTTTCACAAAGTGTCAGATTTCAGAAATAAATGCTTTGAGTTTCACTCTTGATCAACTTCAGAAGAGGTAACAATGACCTATAAAGATGAGAGATGTTCTATTTTACACAGAAATATTTACAAGAAATGTACATATTAACAAATTCAACAATGTTTAAAATGTATTGTCATAAACTAACCACTGATTCATACACATGTAACAACGTAGCAAGTGTTTAAGTAAACCAACTAGACTATCACAGTTTCTTCCAATGTTCACATCCTGTGAATCTACAATGGATAAATACATCAACCGGAATGTCTTGGTATATCATCTCCTCATTAAATTATTTTTAATAAATAAATATCTCGGCCTGTTTGAAGCACACAAATTAAAACATGATATTTAGAAACCTATTGGTAAAGAAAGAATGCCAAATAATATCTTTGTTTTTTCACAGTTCCATGCCATTTTGAGTCTGATTTAAAGAATACTCTTCATGAACCCATTTTTCTTCATAAAAACTCCAACAATATATTTGACCATGACACTATGGTACAGAAAGTGATTTCACCAAGACATTAGGGTCTGACAAGTATAAAATTAGCAACATTTATATCATGATAGCCTCTGATTAGTGGATATACAGGTGCTAAAGTCATTCTTGGTGCAAAAATAGAAATGGTTGATATATTTCATATAAAAACACTCTGCCTACAGTTAAAGGCAAAAATATTCCTTTCCAAACATTCAGCTAGAGTTGTCTCCCTTATATCAGAGCTAGCCACCAACAACAAAATTCCTTTCACATTGTATTTGAGTGTACAAATTCATATCAGAATCAGCAGGAGGTATTCTGTGCAAAGTTTGTCTTTGAAAAATGAATCATTCAGCATGTGTGAGCACCATACTTTCAACATTCAGTCAAACTGCTTACACGTTCCCCTCACGGAAACTTTCCAAATATTCACTGCTCAAACTACAAGCTCAAATTCACCAAATATCTTCCAGAAAAACAATTATGAAATCATATTTACTGTCTAATTCAGTACCATTCAAAGCCAACACATAATACTTTCGTGACAGTATTACCACTTATCAGTGATTTGTACCTTTCGAAAAATTCCATTGTTTTCACTGACTTGGACACCGTGTCAAAGGTGGTGGATGCTAATCATGAGTTACTGTGTACATGAAGGTCTGCACAGAAACCTCTCCCACAAATTGTTAACAAGCACCATCTACTGCAGCAAGATCATATGAAAACTGCCTTCACTAACATAACAAATCAATTAGATTTCGTAAAGAAACTGAATTTATAAAGAGTTGAGTTTAGTTTTATGCCGCACTCAGCAATATTCCAGCTATATGGCAGGAATTTATAAGGAACATTTTATGTCTAGTGTTAAAGTTCAGCTACAACATGCATTTGCACACTTTACAGAAACAGGCGAGCACTATTTCACAAAGAACTGTTTTGATTGCTGCAACAAAGACAAACCTTTCAACCGTCGGTGTTCTGGTGAACATTACATTTCCAACATTTCATAAACACTTACATGAATCTCTTTAACTAGTGTGTGGAATTATCCACTGACTGTGCCCTGTAAAATCTACCAGAATTCATGCCAGGCGTTGTATTACTAGTGACAGCTATTGCCAGTATGAACAGCCCGCACCAGGGTAGTATATCACATCAACAACACTTTCCATACCTCAGTCAACACCTTATCACAGGGCTGAACATAATTTATTGTTGAAGCATTGGAAAGAAAAGTTAACATACATTTTTATTGCAACACAGCAGCAGCAAACTCAACAAGGATTCATCATCTCATACCTTTAAATACCGGGAACTTTCAAGAAAGTTCTTAAAAGCACTACTTATAAGCACATTTTTCCAATACTTATATAGGAAAATAAACAGGATTACTTCAGTTCAAATAAAACATCACTAAAGGACTACGTCTTTCAGTAGTTGTGACACCGAGTTATCAGTTTCAAATACATCACTAACATCTTCTTCTTTCCCTTCTATGGTAAAACGGCCTGAAGAATGTCACTGTGAAATCATGTTTCACCAACAAGTGCAACAGAACCTAGTCGAACAGATGAAGCAACAACCAAACTAAAATGCGTAAAATGTTTCGCACTTTTCCAAATACATTTCAACTCTCTCTAACACATGCATTCACCTTATCAAACAAAATGTTCCATCTAAAAAGTTGGACATAATTTGTTTCAAATGTTCGTTGATATACACTATACCTTCCCTTTCAGAAAGGCAAATCTGATCTAACACCATCAAACCAGTCAACTGACAAGCAGACCCAGTTGATAATCCTCTCAAATCAGTCTGACTTCAAAGCAGTTCTCTCACTCATAAAAGTCAAAAATAGATTTTACAATTTTGGGTTTGAGCAAACAAACATTTCCCAGTGTTAAAATCTAGTTTCCCCCGAGGAGGCTTGGTGAGGCGTGGCTCATCCCTGCTGGCTTCAGGGGTGGGTGTTTGGGGGGTACATCTGGCCGGTGCTGGACACAGGGTTGGGTCCGGTGGCGGTGGCCGAGCTGGAGGTGGTGGCCGTGGAGGAGGCTGCTACAGCAGCCAGGTACTGGGCCTCCAGGGCGTTGGGGGTCAGGGGGCCGTGGCCCTCCTCAAAATCCTTCGTAGCTGCAGCAGACTGAGCCATCATTTTCTGTCGGACTTCACGGATCTTCAGTTGGAGACATACTTTAGTGGGGAAGATGTCTTGGTGCTTGGACTGAAAGCCGGCTGTTGCTTGTGCTGGAACAATGTAAAACAGTTCATCCAAGGGCCAGTGATCTTACATCAATTTCGCATCACCTGCTAAAGAGTTATAAGAAACCATGAAGAAAACATAATTCCAGTTTAAACTTGTTTTTAATTACTTCAGAGCCTGATAATCCCACTTACAAGTAACAATATTCCCAACTGTTTCCTAAGCTAACTCTGGTCAGTGAACTGTAAAACCCTCAAACAGCATTACCATAGGTCCAAACAGTCAGACTTTTCGTTCAAGGAGTTTTTCTCATACTATTAAAAAATCAGTCGGTACCGGTATAATTTTTCAGAAATTTGATTCTGAAATCTGCAAAAAGTAAACTCAAATTGCCAACCATGAGTCAGATATCAATGAGTACATAGCCTGGAGACATCACAGATATTGATGCAGATGTCGCACTGATCTACAGAAATGGGAGGACTATTCTTTGTTGATCATCTATTCATGCACAAACAAAAATCACAACAAAACTTCAGTAACTAGACAGGTGGGCATGACACTATTTCACCCATGGCTACAGACCACCTGTCCTTGTTGCCATCAAGCAGGGTTAAATCTAACATAAGAATCAGGCTACTTTCACCACTAAGTCCTCATTCTAAGTGGAATCAGAAACTAGTATTTTGAAAAATATTTTGACAGTGCTTTCTCAAGTGGAAAGCTTTCAAATACAGTGACTAAATACACTTTCAGATGACAAGTAATCAACTGCCGCCTGTTTGTATGTGTCCTGCCATGATGTCCACCTACCGGTAGGAAACAGCCCTTGTTCCTCAAACAGCTGCATGACAAGCTGTCGTCTCTGGTCCAGCAATCGGCGGTTGGAGAACGCACCCGGGGAACTCGGAGTCTTCGGAGTGCGAGGGGAGTTCAAATCCTCATATTCCAACAAACCTGTGAACAGAGGTGGACAGGAAATTGTGAAAAAACAACCTCTGAGGTCCAGTTTATATACATAAAAATTACATTCAAAATACCATCCATTACTATGTCAAGACATTGTTTACTAGCCCTCATTCCACAAAGCTATCTTAGTACTATGACCATTGTAAGCCAGTGTATCTGACTTATCACCTTAGCCCTGAGATCTGGGTCTCTTAATGGGATCCTGAAGGGCAACCCCTTACAGGCAGTGTGCAACATCCACTCACATTAGAAATATGCTGCAACACGAGGACAGCCTGGAATAGTCTGCGTGTGGTTAGGCTGTGTTGCCCAGTACAACATTCATTAAACTCAATTTAAGAAATAAGATCTAGAAAAAACATACACTCACTCATTTTGTTCACAAAATCTGGATCTTTTAAAGCTTCAAGATTAAAGTTGGACCCAAAGAATTTGGTGTCTTCAAATCTGGCACTGTGAGGAGTCTTGGGTGTGGTCGTCTCGGACTCGCTGGAGAACTTGTTACTGTCAGTCTCCCCAATGTCCCCTTTGACTGGACACAGAAACACATACATCAATGAGCACCGCAACATTCAACAAGAGTCATAGAGCACAAGTATAAAAACTGGAAAGCATTAGATATATCATATACAGTAGAACATGGATATAGCTAGCACGGATATAGCGTACAAACGGATATAGCGAACAAATTTAAAAGTCCCGTCAACAGTCCTTTATAATATCATTAAATTATACGCGAATAACGAACTCGTGAGTAGCGAATTAACGGCTATAGCGAACTGATTTACTACCCCCAAGACCCAATTAAGGACGTGATTAGCGAACTCACTCAGTGTCAGCTCAGCCACTTAGCGGTACAGTATACATCAATCTTGTTGGCGGTGAATCAACATTGATTGATGGTCATTAATTAATTAACAAAACAAACATATCGTGTTTAACCCATTCAACAACCGTAGTATGATTGGCTGCCTTAGGTCACTTGTCTGATTTTCACCAATCACGAGCCTTATAGCATACTGTGGCGAAAAAGCCTCATTAAAAACCAATCTTTATCCAATAAAATCGCTTTTTACAACTGTGAAAATACTCTCGGCGAGGGTACAGTGATATTGTTGATGTTCCAGAGCTGTCGAACGATACCAGACACCAACGATTCGCCTCGCATGTTATTCATACGAAGCTTCGAAAACGGAGGTATTTCCCGTTGTTGTGTCATGTTAACGAACGGAAAGCCTGATTACATAAAAATGAAAATATAAAAGAAAAAGCCACGGGCATGTTAGGACATGTCACAAATGGAAAAAAAAATCGCTACAGTTTTTGCTTCTTTCGTGGTTTATCTGGACACTATAAATGTAAGCTTGCATTTTCATTAAAAAATAAAATAAATTTATTTAAGTTGTAGTTGTATTATTTCAATTTTATTATAAAAATAAACTTCATATTTATCAACATGATATAGGTAATGTCTGTGAATGTCTACATCTCAGCAATCCAAGATGGCGGTCAAATGTGAATAACGAACAACGGATATAGCGAACTAAATTTCTTGGTCCCTTGGAGTTCGTTATATCCGTGTTCTACTGTAGTAGTTTATATAAAATCAAAACAAAATCCATGCTATAGGTTTTAATAACAAAAGTCATCAGAAGATGACAAATCCCCCATTAATTTGAAAGACAAATCATCTGAGAGTAACTAAGTCAAAATCCAGAAAGAGCAAAAGGCACCACTTTGGGATCTGTCTCATATATCTGCCAAGTTTTATTGACAGATATTGAGCAAGATTTTACTTAAGCTCCAGAAACGAAATCCACCCCCTAAATGTGTCCAAATTGTTTCCATGAAAATCCAGAAAAACCAAAATGCCAAAAATCTGTAAATAACAAAAAGCACCACTTTTGTTGAAAAATATGGAATGTCTTTTTAGTTATGCTCCGGAAACAAATGATTACGGACAGACGGACGAGGCGGTGATTATATCCAGCGTTTAAAATTCCCGTCTGCCCGACCGTCAGGAACGGTCTATTTTCATCTCGGACGGTCAAATTTCAAAAGCAGCCTGTCCGGTGGTTTGGTAGATATTTTTACCCACCTAAGAGTAAATATTTCATAATATCAGACAGGTTCTCTTGTCGTCAGTTTGAGGTGATTAAGGTATTATGATCATTGTGTTAAACTACTTCCGATTGGACAGTTCATGTTACGATAACCAATCACAATCATGTACATTCAGTTTACCTAAACTCGGTGCATTGCTTGTTAGTGCTATGTAGTTCATTGCGATGCCTACAAACAGTGAATGGAGCTTGTGCGAGTTGGAAATGGCACTCACAGTTTTTAATTGTTGAAAACCGGACAGGCAAGTTTGTATCCAGACTGGCAATTTTTTTAAGTTACCAGTCCGTCTGTCTGGCTTGAAATTTTGGGAGTTTTTTAACACTGCTATATCCCCCCACAGTATAGGCCAAATAAACTTTGTGGACAACATGAAGTACACACCCAGTCCGGAGACCTTCCTCCTCTTCCTGTAGACATTGATGATCGCCCTGGGACTCTGGGGGATGGGAGTCTTCGACTCGGTCTCTTCAGGCACAAACTGAGGAAGGGATTCAAACTTCCTCTCGAAGTTGACGGTTTCCAGCACCCTGAGGGACCGTTTAGAAAATACTTATTACTCAGCTGCTTACATACTATGTTGACAGAGGGATGCCACAAAGGAATCATCCCCTTTCATTAGCCTTGTTATCCTGCCTGCCGGTAAAACAATCTATACATCGTAATCTGGTCAACAACTACTGCACAGCAGTCTGGTCAATAGTTACTGCACAGCATTATTGTAAATAGTTACTGCACAGCATTATTGTAAATAGTAACAGCACAGCATTATTGTAAATAGTTACTGCACAGCATTATTGTAAATAGTTACTGCACAGCATTATTGTAAATAGTTACTGCACAGCAGTTACTGCACAGCATTATTGTAAATAGTTAACTGCACAGCATTATTGTAAATAGTTACTGCACAGCATTATTGTAAATAGTAACAGCACAGCATTATTGTAAATAGTTACTGCACAGCATTATTTAAATTGTTACTGCAATAGTAAATAGTTACAGCACAGCATTATTGTAAATAGTAACTGCAGCATTATTGCAGTTACTGCACAGGTGTAAATAGTAACTGCACAGCATTATTGTAAATAGTAACTGCACAGCATTATTGTAAATAGTTACTGCACAGCATTATTGTAAATAGTAACAGCACAGCAGTCTGGTCAATAGTTACTGCACAGCATTATTGTAAATAGTTACTGCACAGCATTATTGTAAATAGTTACTGCACAGCATTATTGTAAATAGTTACTGCACAGCATTATTGTAAATAGTTACTGCACAGCATTATTGTAAATAGTAACTGCACTGCATTATTGTAAATAGTAACAGCACAGCATTATTGTAAATAGTTACTGCACAGCATTATTGTAAATAGTAACAGCACAGCATTATTGTAAATAGCTACTGCACAGCATTATTGTAAATAGTAACAGCACAGCAGTCTGGTCAAGAATAAAATGAAAACCTCTCTTGGAAGACACAAAAAATCAACTCTCATGAAATATTTTGTACAGAGAAGTGTCATGTGTGCACTGTCCCTCTGTAGTACTACAGGTGAATATAGTGAACAGATCCTAAAACAGACCCTAGTACTACAGGGAACCAGGTCTAGGACAATTGCCACCCGGAGATTGCCACCCACAACATAAAATAATAATTCATTTTTGTCGTGGGTAGCAATTGTCCGGGTGGCAATTGTCCTGCTCCCCAGGGAACCATGTACAGGTGACCTGTGTTGCGGCACCTGAGCCATGTTTCAACACTTACTTGTCCATGCCATCATCCACCGTCTTCTTGAAGAAGCTCCTGCGTGGGCTGTTGAGACTGGGTGAAGGCATCGGGGCGCTGGAGGTCTGCAGTACATGTGGAGGGACGGACAGAGGTGGGGGCTTGTGCTTGGCTTTGGGCTGGAGCAAACACAACAAGGATGTCAACAGCAAAAGAAATCTTTAAAATGTCTGCTATATAAGTGGAATCATACATATCAGTTTTCCTGAAAGAAACTGTATTTCTGACAAGGGTATTGATGTTGAAAATATCTCATGAATTTGTTGATACTCCCTTTTAGTGGAGAATATAGCCTTGCATTCCGATTTGAAGAATAGTACAAATAATCAATTTTACAATTTCATCAACTGCTTCTGCAAACCAATTATCAACACTGGATTGATGATGATGATAATGATGATGATGATGATGATGCCCCACCTGTGACGGTGTTTCCGGTGATGCTGCTGCTGCTGCTGATGCTGCTGATGGCGCAGGACTGGACTGTGTCTCAGACATGGCTTCCATCAATGGGTGATCCCCCTCACCCTGGTCTCTGTTGGGGGAGGACTCTTGTGACAGCATCCCCTGGTCTTCATGGACGTCAGACAGGGGGCTCGGCTTCTTCCTCTTCACCCTCATCTCAGACTCGCGAAGCTGACTGTATTTCTTCCCCTTACAGGCCCGTTGTGGTTTCTCCCCACTGTCCGAGTCCTTCATTACATCAAAGCTGAATGTGACCTCACGGGTGTCCACAGTTGTCCGCCCCTGGCTCATGGCTGACTGCAGAGGCTGAGGAGGTGGTGGTGGCGGCTGAGTCTCTACCTGCGTCATGACAGGCTGTGGGGGTGGAGGTGGTCTGTGGATGGGGGTAGGGGAAGGGGCAGGGCTGCAGTGTATTGGGGTACCAGGACTAGGAGACAGGTGATATCCTGGGGAGGGGGAGGGGCGTGGAGAGCTGACCGACACCTGGCGACCTGTGGACATGAAGGTAACTATTTACAATGATACAAGTAAAGAGTGAGTGAGTGAGTGAGTTTAGTTTTACGCCGCTTTTAGCAATATTCCAGCAATATCACGGCGGGGGACACCAGATATAGGCTTCACATATTGCACCCATGTAGGGAATCGAACCCCGGTCTTCAGCGTGACGAGCGAACGCTTTAACCACTAGGCTACCCCACCGCTCCACAAGTAAAAGAGTGTGAGTGTGCGAGATCAGTTTTACGCCGCTTTTAGCAATATTCCCGCCATATGACGGGGTGGGACACCAGACATGGGCTTCACAAAGTGTACCCATGTGGGGAATTGAACCCGGCATGACAAGTGAATGCTTTAACCACTAGGCTACCCCAACGCCCTGTAAAAGAAAGTGAGCAAGAAGGGTTTTACGCCGCTTATAGCAATATTCCAGCAATATCACATTGGGGGTCAAGAAATGGTCTTTACACATTATCCCCGTGTGAGGATTAGAACCCAGTCTTTGGCATGATAAGCGAACGCTCTAACAACTAGGCTAAAAAAACGCCCCAGGAAAAGAAAATCAGGATACAGAACACTGATACAGAACACTGGTACAGAACACTTAGAATTACTGAATTCTCAAGGAGTACATCTTTGGGTAAATTATCAAGTATGGCTGACCTTGAGAGACCGGTGGTCTCTGCAGACTCTCCGTGGCAACGGGGATGCTGGCAAGGGTGGCCTTCACCTTAGTAGGTCGAGTCTGGAAGTTAGGGTTGCTGATGTAGCCTATCTCTCCCTTCCCATCTGTGGGGAAAGTGATGTAGCTGGAAGACCGCACATTCATCACACCTGGAAACAATGAGAAATAAAGACAAATACAAACTGGGCAAGACTCACTCTTGGACAGTGTCCTCCCACTTCACCTCCAACATCCACTTTTACCCATTTGGTTCGGAAATTAATTAGGTGATCTGGGTATGTCATGCCTTGTTGATTACTCAGGATTAGGTGAAGTGGGTATGTCATACCTTGTTGATTACTCAGGATTAGGTGATGTGGGTATGTCATGCCTTGTTGATTACTCAGGATTAGGTGATGTGGGTATGTCATGCCTTGTTGATTACTCAGGATTAGGTGATGTGGGTATGTCATGCCTTGTTGATTACTCAGGATTAGGTGATGTGGGTATGTCATGCCTTGTTGATTACTCAGGATTAGGTGAAGTGGGTATGTCATGCCTTGTTGATTACTCAGGATTAGGTGATGTGGGTATGTCATGCCTTGTTGATTACTCAGGATTAGGTGAAGTGGGTATGTCATGCCTTGTTGATTACTCAGGATTAGGTGAAGTGGGTATGAGTCCATATATTGTGATCAGAGGGGGTTTTGCAACTATGTCGGAGAAAAAGAATGACATACTCAGTGTGATAGAATTAATGAATATATGTTATACATCTTATATATATTTTATTTATTCAATTGATAAATTAACATTTTATGATACATACATGTATGCATGACCTGCTCAGTAATGAATTAATACATGCAGTAATGCAACTGCAACCAAGTCATTAGGTCTACATGACATGACACCCGAATCATTAGGTCTACATGACATGACACCCGAGTCAGAAGGTCTACATGACATCCAAATCATTAGGTCTACATGACATGACACCCGAGTCACTAGGTCTACATGACATGACACCCGAGTCACTAGGTCTACATGACATGACACCCGAATCAGAAGGTCAACATGACATGACACCCAAATCAGAAGGTCTACATGACATGACACCCATGGCACTTGGTCTACATGACATGACACCCGAGTCACTAGGTCTACATGACATGACACCCATGGCACTTGGTCTACATGATATGACACCCGAGTCACTAGGTCTACATGACATGACACCCGAATCAGAAGGTCTACATGACATGACACCCGAGTCACTAGGTCTACATGACATGACACCCGAGTCAGAAGGTCTACATGACATCGAATCACTAGGTCTACATGACATGACACCCATGGCACGTGGTCTACATGACATGACCCCCGAGTCACTAGGTCTACATGACATGACCCCCGAATCAGGTCTACATGACATGACACCCGAATCAGAAGGTCTACATGACATGACACCCGAATCAGAAGGTCTACATGACATCCGAGTCACTAGGTCTACATGACATGACACCCGAGTCACTAGGTCTACATGACATGACACCCGAATCAGAAGGTCTACATGACATGACCCCCGAATCAGAAGGTCTACATGACATGACACCCATGGCACTTGGTCTACATGACATGACACCCGAGTCACTAGGTCTACATGACATGACACCCATGGCACTTGGTCTACATGACATGACACCCGAGTCACTAGGTCTACATGACATGACACCCGAATCAGGTCTACATGACATGACACCCGAGTCAGAAGGTCTACATGACATGACACCCAAATCAGAAGGTCTACATGACATGACCCCCGAGTCACTAGGTCTACATGACATGACACACATGGCACTAGGTCTACATGACATGACACCCGAGTCACTAGGTCTACATGACATGACACCCGAGTCACTAGGTCTACATGACATGACACCCGAGTCACTAGGTCTACATGACATGACACCCGAGTCACTAGGTCTACATGACATGACACCCGAGTCACTTGGTCTACATACCGTAATACATGGGACTCTGAGCCTGTGGTGGGCTCTGCTGTGTCTTGTGCGCAGACAGCTGAGGTTTGGGGGCAATGTTTGGCTGGGCAGCAGGTGCTGGACTGGTGGCCAGTGATGGAGATCGGACTGCTTGTGGTTGAATCAGGACCTGTTGTACGGTGCTCTGGTTCACTGTTGGCGAAACCAGACCATTTCTTTAAGAATTATAGGAAGGGAAGGTAACTAAACATTTGTTGAGAAGTATGCTTTAGAGGCTCCTAAACCTCGGACACACAATGTGTTGGCCTTGCCAAATGAGAAAGGTCACAGCTGGAAAGAAAGCAGGAAGCAAGCTGTATCCACCAGACCTAACAACATGGGGGTTAACGTTTATTTCACTACTTCCCATCTGAACTATCAATGATTGCAGAGGTCACAAATTACTTGGCTGGTGTGGGTTTCGGTCAAGTGTTGTGACCTACCTTGAGGCACAGAGCCAACATAGGCAGGGATGTACGCATGGGACACCTCAGTTTTGTTTCCTGGGGGAGTTGTTGCCACAGGCACGGCTAGGCCCGTCCCTTGCTGGACGTACGCAATTCTGGAAGGAAATCAAAGATGACCTGATAACAGCAACATTACACAAAAGTGTCAAGATTTGATTTGGAAAATTTGAAAATATGTTTTGTATTTATTTAAAATATTATCATCCTGATAACAAATGTCTGCTTATGCTGTTCCTTGTGCATGTTATACTCAGTAACTTTATGGGCAACACTTTACCGCATCAACATGCTCGACATTTTTATTGAAGTTTGGAATTTACTCACTTCTGTGTAGAAGGCAAGAGAATACGCTGTTGTTGCTGCTGCTGCTGCTGTTGCTGTTGCTGTAGTTGTTGTGATATGACACTCTGCGACTGTGTGGGCTGCATCTGATGCTGCACCGAGGGATGTGGCACAGTGAGGGACACTACGGGCTGACCCAGCTGTACGTGATGCGGGGATGTGGCCAGCACTGCTGGCGACGGATTCACAGTCACGAGTTGTGTAACCATGGCAACAGCCTTTGTTTGCTGAGGGTGCTGTTTGGGTGCTGCCATCAAAGTCTGTGTTTGTTGCTGTGGCAACATCTTGTTTTGAGGAGAGTTTGTCATTCGAAGTCCTCCAGGTGCTGTGCTGATCTGGAAGTTACTGGTCTGAACCTGTGCAGGCTGGGCCACATTATTGCTGGCCACAGCAACAATGTTCTGCTGCACAGCACCTCCTGGCAGCGCCATCTGCAGAACATTCTGTACCTTGCCCCCAAGGGGAGCAGGCTGGACTCGGACTGACGGTAGGATGTACTGGACGTGCGTGGGTTGCAGGGTGGGCTGTGTGGGTGTCTGGGGCTGCTGGATGGCCATGGTGGCAGTGCCAGGACTTGACTGGTTCGTCTTCAGTACCACATTAGTCAGCAACGCTGGAGAGGCCAGGTTCTGCACTTGCTGCTGCGGCTGCTGCTGCACGCTCTGGGGAGGCGCGATGTTGCGTAATGTTGTAACATATCCACCTGAGTTGACCGAAGTCTGCACACTAGCACTATTGTTGAGTTTATTTGCTGTGACAGCACTAACAGCTGGGGAGTTGAGAATTGTCATACCATAGGGGCTGCTTGGAATGCTCTGTAACAGAATTGTGCTCACGTTTTTCATGCTGCCATTAGAATTGTTGCTGGTCAAGAGAGTCTGTTGGGGGATACATACATTGTTAACAGAGGCAGTTTTAGATGATGTTGTCTGCGGTAGATTGTGAATAGGCTTTGAGGCAATGGGGATGGGAGTTGTGATGGGTTTGTCCGTTGTGGAAAAGGTTGGTGCCACACTTCCACCAACATGCCCTGCATGAGTTACCATCACCTGCGGTGTGGAGGGAAACTGGACAGTACTGGCCATGGGCGGCCGTGTGGCATGATGTGAGGACACGGGAGATGCCTGGCTTGGAGAATATGAAAGAGGACTCTGAGGCACGGGTTTCGCAGCTCGGGACTTCTGCGTCATCTTCCCCATCACTGGACCCCGCCCGTTCTGCTTGCCGAGAGTGGTCTGCATGTTGGAGGACACAATCAGCTGCTGCTTGTCCTGGGTCATGGTGATGTTGTGGATTTTCATCTGACCAAGCTTGACAGTCTGCTGCTGTGTGCCAGGCATACGCGAACTAGAGCTGTACATGCCCCCGTCGTCCTCACGGGCTTCAGTGAGTATGTCCAGAGAACTGGCCGACATAAGTCGGCCATCACGAGACTTGGCTTTAAACACGGCTCCCTTTGGCTGAAAGCTGGAGCCTGTGCTTGAGGGTCTTGGCATAAGCAGCCCTTCAGCCAGCTGCTTGTTGATGGGGAAGCTCACATCCATCTCCATCTGAGGATCGGGCATGCGACGGATGGGTTTGGGACGGTAAGCAATGTCTGCAGGGGTGATGTTCTTCATGACTGGGGAGAAGCGCTGTTGGGGGAAGGCCTTGTTCTCGATGAGTGTGTCTTCCTCTGTCTGACTGTCTGTCTCGCTGTCAGACACATGCTCCTTACAGTTGAGGTCAATTCCGCCCATCTCACCACCAGCATTGCCGCCACCTTCTGGGCACACAGAAAACAGCTTGTAAGATTCAGAGATCAAGCAATCATCAGCTTATACCAGTATCCTCAGCACAGCAAAGCAAAATAGAAATAATCTTCTGGGGCCCGTTTCACAAAGCGATCGTAGCAACTGTCGTAAATCTATGTTAAAGTATGGGAGTTACAATCACCTTAGCGCTACGACAGTCGTAAGGCTATGTTAAGGTATGGGAGTTACGATCACCTTAGCACTATGACAGTCGTAAGTCTATGTTAAAGTATGGGAGTTAAGATCACCTTAGCGCTACGACAGTCGTAAGTATATGTTAAAGTATGGGAGTTAAGATCACCTTAGCACTATGACAGTCGTAAGTCTATGTTAAAGTATGGGAGTTAAGATCACCTTAGAGCTACGACAGTCGTTAGTATATGTTAAAGTATGGGAGTTAAGATCACCTTAGAGCTACGACAGTCGTAAGTCTATGTTAAAGTATGGGAGTTAAGATCACCTTAGCGCTACGACAGTCGTAAGTCTATGTTAAAGTATGGGAGTTAAGATCACCTTAGCGCTACGACAGTCGTAAGTATATGTTAAAGTATGGGAGTTACAATCACCTTAGCACTACGATCGCGTTGTGAAACGGGACCATGGGAATTACGTTGTCTCCAATACCATGTATTAATTGGGGACCTTCACAACAAAATCCCAATGCAACATGATTCATTATACCATGTACAGCGGTAACATTTTGCTTTAAGAGTATTACTCCAAACAATGATTTTTAATTTTGCTGTTCATGTTGTCTCCCGACAATACACATACATGATCACACTTTAGAACTAACTGCATGACAAGACACTGCAAAAATGTGGTTCAGCTGTACTTTGTAAACCTTCTAAAATCCAGATCGTTCTAACAAAAATCCAGTGTTACATATAGATACAGAAATAAACAAGCTGTGGATCACCGGCATCTGTTTCCATTTCAAATCTGATTCTGGTAATGTGTACAGTTGTAGGGCAAAAACAGTGTACTTATGTTCAGCAACATTATTCAGTCAACACTTCATCCTGCCAAGATTCAAAATGGAAAGAAAAGTTTCTTACCGTCCTCACATATAACCATCTTCTCATCATCGCTGTCATCATCATCCCCCTTTGAGCCCAGGCTGCGATGAAACTGCCGCACCTGTTCCTGCGTGAAGTTGTAATGCTGCTGGGTCATCTGGGATGGCTGCGAGGTGTGTGTGGAAGGGCCATCATGAAATGGTACAGTGGTGCGAGGGGGTTTGCTGGAAGAGCCTGGTTGCTGGTACAGCTGATGTGGTCTGCCCACTGAGATGCCCCCCGATTCCACTGCCATGGTCTGCAGAAACATGGAAGGAACACATTTATTTCATTTGTGTTGTTCTTCAGATGTTCTTTTTTAGCCATGGGAATCAAAATAACATTGTCATTATTCTTCAGAATGTGTGATGAAGCCTGGTTGATATTTGTCAACGTCATAACTTGGGGCAACCCTTCTTCAAATCGTTTTCATTTTTAATCCTTACATTAAAGACCCTAACATTCTTAAGCAATTTGTGATTCTCAGAGGCATCTGTGGCCAATCAATCATCATTCTAGTCACATAAAACACAAACATGGAGAATTTTGTCCTAGCGTGAACACTGACCTCTGGCTGCTGGTAGGACTTGCAGGTAGGAGGCAGGAAGCCACGGACCTCGTCCTGTGGCACAGCTGAGAAGCTGAGAGATCTCTGTTTCATTAAGCTGCTGATGGCTCCTTGGGGAAGAGGCATGGAGGACTCAGGTTCCAGACTGCTGACTGCATCGAGCTCCTCCAGGTCCAGCACCTCTGGGTCCAGCTTGTCATCTGCAGGACACACCAGACAGCTGTACACAGCATCCACACACAGCTGTACACACTAACCCCAAATGCAACTGTACACCATACCCACACCTACAACTGTACACACTACCCCCACCAAAAGTTGTACACAGCATCCACACACAGCTGTACACACTAACCCCAAATGCAACTGTACACCATACCCACACCTACAACTGTACACACTACCCCCACCAAAAGTTGTACACAGCATCCACACACAGCTGTACACACTAACCCCAAATGCAACTGTACACCATACCCACACCTACAACTGTACACACTACCCCCACAAAAGTTGTACACAGCATCCACACACAGCTGTACACACTAACCCCAAATGCAACTGTACACCATACCCACACCTACAACTGTACACACTACCCCCACCAAAAGTTGTACACAGCATTCACACACAGCTGTACACACACTACCCCACATAAAGTTGTACACACTACGCCCACATACAGCTGTACACGCTACACCCACATACAGCTGTACACGCGCTACACCCACATACAGCTGTACATGCTATCTACACCCAGCATACATGCTACACCCACATACAAGCTACACCCACATACAGCTGTACACGCTATACTGCGCTTACATGCTACACCACATACAGCTGTACACGCTTACACCCACACATACAGCTGTACACGCTACACCCACATACAGCTGTACACGCTACACCCACATACAGCTGTACACGCTACACCCACATACAGCTGTACACACTACACCCACATACAGCTGTACACGCTATTACACCCACATACAGCTGTACTTACGCTGTACTGTACACCACACATACAGCTGTACACGCTACACCCACATACAGCTGTACTTACACTGCACATACTGTACCCTAACACCCACATACAGCTGTACATGCTACACCCACATACAGCTGTACATGCTACACCCACATACAGCTGTACACACTACACCCACATACAGCTGTACACGCTACACCCACATACAGCTGTACACGCTACACCCACATACAGCTGTACATGCTACCCACATACAGCTGTACATGCTACACCCACATACAGCTGTACATGCTACACCCACATACAGCTGTACATGCTACACCCACATACAGCTGTACACGCTACACCCACATACAGCTGTACACACTCACACCCCACATACAGCTACGCGCTACACCCACATACAGCTGACACTCCACATACAGCTGTACATGCTACCCCACATACCATGCACACCCACATACAGCTGTACATGCTTACACCCACATACAGCTGTACAGCCTGTACTTTACACCCACATACAGCTGTACACGCTACACCCACATACAGCTGTACACTACACCCACATACAGCTGTACATGCTACACCCACATACAGCTGTGCATTTACACCCACATACAGCTGTACATTGCTACACCCACATACAGCTGTACGCACTACACCCACATACAGCTGTACATGCTACACCCACATACAGCTGTACATGCTACACCACATACAGCTGTAGCTACACCCACAGCTGTACACTATCACATACAGCTGTACACACTACTTCACATACAGCTGTAATGCTACACCCACATACAGCTGTACAAGCTACACCCACATACAGCTGCACACAGTACCCCCACATACAGCTGCACACATGTTACACCCCACATACACACACACTACACCCCCACATACACCTATACACACTACCCCCACATACACACTCCCCCACATACACACTACACTCACCCACACACCTGTAGACACCCACACCCACACACCTGTACACACTACACCCACATACACCTGTACACACTACACCCACATATACCTGTACACTACACCCACATACAGCTGTACACATTCCACTCACATACAGCTGTACACACTACACCCACATACAGCTGTACACACTACAGCTGTACACCTGTACACTACACCCACATACACCTGTACACACTGCACCCACATACAGCTGTACACACTGCCCCACATACAGCTGTACACACTTCCCCCACATACAGCTGTACACGCTACCCCCCCCACATACACCTGTACACACTACACCCACCTGTACACACTACACCCACACACACCTGTACACACTACACCCACACAGCTGTACACTAGGGCTGCAATGAATACACTATGTGGTGAATATGATACGTATCATGAATATTGGGTAACAAATACGAATAATTATTCACGAATACAATATTGTAGTTAAGTGATTGATGTACAATATGGTATCATCAACTGGCTTACTGTGGAACATATGATCTCTTATTCCATTACAGTTACCAACAATCATTCCCCAGGACACAAATTCCAATATTCACCTATGTCCCCAACTGCTTCAGACAGGTCATCAGTTGAACTCAGACGTCGGTTACCTCCCCTTTGCTTCAATGTTGCTGCAATTGTACTTGACCGCTTTCTGTCTTTGGAACACCACTTCCAGTCAGGATGGGCCTTGAAGTGGGCCTCTTTCACCTGGAAAACACAACATAATGGTGACTACTTTTAAATGGGATGATGAATATCCTCCAACCAAAGATTTTGTGTTCAGTCACCTGCTTGAAACATTTGGTGTTGCTGAAGCACAACCAATTGCATCAGCAAATTGTACACACAAATCCACACAAGACCTTTACTCAAACGTTCCAACTACACCAGTCTCCAATGAACATGGCCAGAATCAGTAGTGAGAATGACAGGGCCCTGTAACAAACTTCTTTGTTACAAAGTAACAAATTTCTTCTATTCCCCGTAATCACGGTGAGAGTGCCTACCTGTGATGCAAGATCATGATACTTCTGCTTCTCCTTGGGCCCGAGGGCATACCACCACTCCCCGAGGATCTTGCTGACTGTGCGGTTGTCCTGGTTAGGATGGCGCTGGTGAACCAGAGCTCGATGCCGCTTGCTGAAGATCATGAAGGCATTCATCGGCCGGCGGATGTGGTCTTTGTCCCGAGACTGGACACAAGGATGCATACAGTGAGGTTACATTCTACACATTTCATGGTTTACTGATATTAGCCTGGGTATGTGGGAATAAAAATCTGATTAGCTGACTCAATACTAATCAAACAATTCTACCTGGCCTTAAGTTGTGAGGGTTGGTCATCTTTGTGTGAGTGAGTGAGTGAGTATGGCTTTACGCCGCTTTTAGCAATATTCCAGCAATATCACGGCGGGGGACACCAGAAATGGGCTTAACACATTGTGCCAATGTGGGGATTCGAACCCGGGCCTTCGGCGTGACGAGCGGACGCTTTAACCACTAGGCTACCCCACCGCCCCCATCTTTGTGTGACAGGCAAGTGCAGTGGAGAGAGATTAGCCACAATGCATGTGATACATTCTATCATTCCTTTTGTTTTGGTTCATGACTCTAATTTTCAGACATTTTTTACATATTTTCTGATTGTTTAGATTTCATCAGTCAATTCTGTAATCATGAACAAAGCTTGAGAAAAACTCTGGGCATGATTTGAAGAAACATTTAAGTCCTTGCCCAACAATATCAGGATATTCTTATTACCTTCAGTTGAAGCATACTTTCTCAAACATGGCTGTCACAAACCTTGGTGTTTTGTCCATAGAAACAACATACTCAGTCCAGTCCAGAAACTACAATTAGGTTTCGTTTCCTTCTTTGGGGGAAATGTTGTGTACACCTACCTTGCGTGGGCTCCGCGGCTCCTCCTTGTCCTTCAGAGCACTCAGGGACTGTGTTCGCCTCTTGGTTGGGGACCTGGCATTCGACTTCTTTGGTGAATCAGTTGGTGCAGGTTCAAATACATCGTCATCATCCTCATCAATGTCATCATCCACCTTGAAAGCTGGAAGCAAAGTGTGGACAGTATACAATTTCAGTCATATACCCACAACAAATACTTACTGTTGCTATTGGATACTTGCCAGGAGTACAATAAACACACTTTCTGCTTCTAATGGAAGCTGTCTAATGGATCAAAATGGTCTTCGGAATGAAAGTCAAGAAGGAGAGGACTTATTTCTGCTGCTTGGTGGAGACATATTTGTGAGTCCTGAGACAGGAGGACTTATTTCTGCTGCTTGGTGGATGCAGCAGTATTAGGGATGTGGTCCGCCTGGCATGTGAGTACTGAGACAGGAGGACTTATTTCTGCTGCTTGGTGGATGCAGCAGTATTAGGGATGTGGTCCGCCAGGCATGTCAAGGACTGTACTTACATTTCAATAAAATGAAAGAACAGTGTACTTTGACTTGAAGGCAAAGCTATGGAAGCAAACAATTCAAGGATATTGCTCAATGGCTAATCAAAGAAATTGCTTGGTTGTAGCACTGACTGACTGACTGAGTATGGTTTTACGCCACTTTTAGCAATCTTCCAGCAATATCACGGCGGGGGACACCAGAAATAGGCTTCACACGTTGTACCCATGTGGGGATTCGAACCCGGGTCTTTGGCGTGATGAGCGAACGCTTTAACTACTAGGCTACCATACCGCCCCGGTTGTAGCACTGAGCAGGATGTTTGATTTCGCTTTGCAGGTGACCGAGCCTCACCGACCAGCATCCATGACCGGCGTCAGACAGGAATTAGGGACAGGCATCACTGACCACTGATCCGGTCTCACTGAATACAATCGGCACCAGCAGCATGGACCACTGATCCGGTCTCACTGAATACAATCAGCACCAGCAGCACTGATCCGGTCTCACTGAATACAATCAGCACCAGCACCACGGACCACTGATCAGGTCTCACTGAATACAATCAACACCAGCACCACGGACCACTGATCAGGTCTCACTGAATACAATCAACACCAGCATCACGGACCACTGGTCCGGTCTCACTGAATACAATCAGCACGAGCAGCACTGACCAATACTGACCAAAAAAGATCACTTCAACAATTCTCAGGTATTATCAGGTACTTGTCTTGAGATACCCATCTCTACTTTCTACCATCTCAACATCCTGAGCAGCTATGTAGCTGACAATAAAAGAGATAATCAAGTGAATTACTCACAAGTTTCCCCGACTCCTTGCGTTGTTTGAGGAGGTTCCTGTTTGCTGACAACAGGGGGTGGAGTGGCTGGCTGAGGGGGTGAGTGACTTGCTCCATTGGGGGGGGTTGCTGGAACAGCTGGTCCCGTATTGGTCAGAAAAGGAACGAGTGAGTGCCAAGGGTATACACGGATCTCATTCCGAGATGCTGAAAGATAAAAAAAGAAGTTATTTGCCATGAAAATTGAAATACTGAGAACCATGAAATATTGCTTCTATATCGGAGTTGAATGTCATTGTGCTATTCTACAGTAGACATTAGTGCACATTAAAGATATTGACATTTCATTGTTTTGTTTTAATAACTTTACAAAAGTATCAAAATGTGCTGAAATCATGAAAATATACTAGAGAGGTTTTTTTCAGTTTTGGTAAAGACACAGGTAAAGACGAAGTCTCCTATAAAAAGATGATAAAATTATAAAAACTCCTCTTCATGCTAAATCATGTCTCTGTCAAATTCAGTTTGAGGCCATCAGACCCCGGCCTGGGAGAAACATTAGCTAGGCCATCCAGTTCCCCTCTTGAAGTACATACACAAGTAGCATGGATGTTGTCAAGCTGACACAATCAGCCAGCTAGAGGGAGATGATCACAGTGAAGTCAGCACTTACTACAATACTCCTAATAAATCCTATATAATATAGCTATTATTTCACCAATGTACGTAAAATGTTTCTGCCATCTGAAACATTACTTCAAATAGTTTTCACAAAAATACAAATTGCAAATATCTCCACAACCATTAATGTTTACTACAAGCTACAACAAAGACCTCAACTGGTTCAACTGAGGCCATGTGTGAAGGCACTGTTGTCTCCACAACCATTAATGTTTACTACACGCTACAACAAAGACCTCAACTGGTTCAACTGAGGCCATGTGTGAAGGCACTGTTGTCTCCACAACCATTAATGTTTATTACACGCTACAACAAAGACCTCAACTGGTTCAACTGAGGACATCTGTGAAGGCACTGTTGTCTCCACATGATAATTCTCATTCTTTACTTATGCAAGCACTGCTTTCAGGAACAGTATATGAACATAACAGATTTGTTTCAAGATACTATTGAACTTTTGTGTTTGGCCAGGCTATAGTCTATGCAGACATGTACACGCCGTACTCAATGATTTGTTTGCATGTCTGTTTGTGTGTTTGTTGCAGTCAGCAATATTCCAGCTTTATGAAGGCGGTCAGCAATATTCCAGCTTTATGAAGGCGGTCAGCAATATTCCAGCTTTATGAAGGCGGTCAGCAATATTCCAGCTTTATGAAGGCGGTCAGCAATATTCCAGCTTTATGAAGGCGGTCAGCAATATTCCAGCTTTATGAAGGCGGTGTGTAAATAACCGACTCTGAACAGACAGTCTAGTGATTGACATCATGAGCATCTGTCTGCACCATTAACCAAGTCATCTAGTCAGACCATCCCATCAGTTGCTTCTTACAACAAGCATGGGTGGCTGACGAGAAACTCTAATTTTTACGATCGTTGTGCTCAATACAGATAAGCTAATAAACATTCATGTCTGGCATTCAACTGAAACACCTGGCCATGGAGACATTAGGGCATTATAATTTGGTTGCACTGCAGTTCTACCAACCATTATGATAGTTTGTAGAAGAAACGTGTAAATGAACCATCCATTTCATCTTTCATTAGCTACACGTCACCAAATTATATGTTTTCTGCCACCCAGAGTGTGATGACAGCCTTGTAGAAGTGTGTCCCAGCCTTGCAGTCATTACACACATGTGAACCTGGTCAGTATTGTAAACAACTCCACATACCAGCCAAAGATAAAGTCACTTTATTACATTTCAAATCAACTTGCCATGAAGCTTGGAGCCTCAACAGCCATCTCTATGTATTCAAACTTCCCAGTGAAATCCAATCTAAAGTCATACTAGTGGTAATTGGGACGGGTTCAGAGGGAATGACGCAGTTAATGTAGCTATTCTGAGCACTGCAGTGGAGAGTATCATCCTACCAGTATGGCCTCAAGTGTTTCCTCCAGCAGCATGACAAGCACCTTCACAGCCATACGGAACAAACCCGGCCCTAACAATGTACTGACTGTTCCATGGCCTACAACCAGTGTCAGCCAGGACAAACCTTCCCCTGTCTACAGTCCAAACAGTCCTACCCCACCTTCATGTACGTGATGAACACGGCATCATTCTACAAGGAATTTGGACACATCATTCTACAATTTGGGCACATCATTCTACAAGGAATTTGGGCACATCATTCTACAAGGAATTTGGACACATCATACTACAAGGAATTTGGGCACAACATCATTCTATGAGGAATTTGGACACATAATCATTCTAAGAGGAATTTGGACACATCATCATTCTACAAGGAATTTGGACACATCATTCTACAAGGAATTTGGACATTAATTTGAATCCTGATTGGTCAGTTAGAGGTTGGCAAATCAGACACACATCTCCACTAATGCTAATGTTTACAGAAAAGCAGGTCTTTTTCAGCCATGGAGCGAGTGAGTCAGTTTGGTTTTACGCCCCTTTGAGCAATATTCCAGCAATATCATGGCAGGGGACACCAGAAATGGCCTTCACTCATTGTACCTATGTGGGGAATCGAACCAGGGTCATCAGTGTAACGAGCAGACACTTGAACAAATTAGGCTACCCCACCGCCCCTCAGTCATGGACAGTGGGTCTTTACAGGGCCTTACAACAGTGGGGGGCCAGGGGACCCTCGTCAATAAATCTAACAGGTCCTTGCGGGTAATGAGTGAGTGAGTTTAGTTTTACGCCGCACTCAGCAATATTCCAGCTACATGGCGATGGCTTGCTGGTAATGAGTGAGTGAGTTTAGTTTTACGCCGCACTCAGCAATATTCCAGCTATATATGGCGGCGGCTTGCTGGTAATGATGAGAGTCCTGTAAAGGACTGAAATAGTGTACTACAGTAGTGTAGTGTCTGGAATGAATCAGTGGTCACGTGGACAGTCACGGGTCATGACTGATGGGGGGAAATAACACACACAGATAACTACTGTTGATTTGCTGTAGGTACACTCTCGGTATTTTTGTATGTGTCTCTGGATGCGAGATTTAAGGTTTTCTGCATCCATTCTGTACATTTGGGCATACTGGACGCACATCTGTGTCGCATAAAACCCTGCACTATCATTTGCCACACTGAGCTCGATGATACCATGACGAGCAGTGTAAACGTCATATGGCTTGTTTAGTTTTCCTCAGGGCTGTTTATGTTGTGTTACAAGCTTTCAATGCCTATCATATGTTCCAGTGAAGTAACATGGTGCAAAAGACATACAGCCCACATGCTGTTCAGAGGCTGTTGTAATAAGTCCATAATTCAGACTCACTCCCAACAATGTTTCAAACCTGCAAGTTGGGTCCTAAATTTCATTTGATGCAGTTAAGTAGCTGGTAACCCAGCTCTGCACTGACAACCATCTCCATAGTATCGTAACTCCAACTAGTAAATGTTACATTACTATTGTTAGACACCTATAATTATAGTAATGTACCTGCAGTTATGTCTAATGACTCAATGTATTTACATGTTCTAATAAATTGTAGTCACAACAACCACCATTCAAAATATTTTTTCAATATCACAGACAAGATGTTGCAACATAATTCAATTAGAATCTTAGAAATCTTGGAAATATCAAATTGGATCAAACTGTTAATACCACATTAACATATTCAACAGTAGACTAACAACGTGTCTCTGAAATGAACATATTTTACTGAAAAAAAATTCATAGTAAAAAAATAATAATATATAATGAAAATGAGCCCTGAGACTTTCTTCATTTTCAGAGGAAATCTAGACTTGCCACTTTTTCTAGACTTGCGTGGGCTTTCTTGGATATATTTGCTTCAGGGTCTGTATGACAGACTAATTCAACAGCTACATCAAGATCAATTTCCTAATAATTGTAGTCAATAACAGCCTGTATATCTATGACTCAGATCTACTAAAACTGAAAGCAAGAAAACAAATCAAAATATAAGGTGTTGGTAGAGAGCAAATAGCCATGTGCAGAGCTGGGAATATAGAACCAAATGTAATGAAGGGAAAGATATCTGGATGTACAAGTTTTCTCTTACAGTTTGGAGCAATGTCATAATAAAGAAGTTGTTCATCCATGTACCTCATCCTGTCTTAGTACTCTAACTTCTGAATGCCTCTCAAACAACTTATTACTAAATTATAATTATTCATTTGCCACTTTCACAGCAATATCAGCCTAAAAGCTTTCATCAGCTCTATACTGGATATGGGCTTTTCGGCAGGTCAGATCTATAAATAGCATAGCAACTTGAGTGATCACGACTATGTACATTCAACACCTGGCCAGGGATGGCAGTCAGGTAGTAGTGTATTTATAACTGTACATTGACACATACAATACTGGGTGGTGGTCTGTAGGCCGGAGGGAGACTGGCCATGATGAAAGCAGGTTCAGGGAGAGTTCAATTTGTCAAAACATAACTTGAAAACTAAAATTCCTTTATTACATTATATGAACAGTAGCGTCCAGTTATTTAACCTGTTCACAATATGGATTCATGAATTGATGTTTCAGTAAACTTGTGACTTAATTCATGTCTAGAAACATGGTGACAGCAGTTATTCAAGCCTCTGGTGATAAATATACCATACTAGGGTTTAATCACAACTATTCTCATTGCAGACAGGTGCTACAGACATAAATGATGCCTAGTCTGTGGTGGTGCCGTGAGTGAGTGAGTTCAAACTGAACCACACCAGCAATATTTCAGCTGTATCGTGACAAGTACCATACATTCAAAATGAATATATTTAGACTGAATAAAAATCATTTATCGCTGGAGAGAAGAGGAACACAACTGTGACACACATATTGTCATTGAGGGTATGATCAGCTGAATATAACATGGACACACGTATTGTAGTTGAGGGTATGATCAGCTGGAATATAACATGGACACACGTATTGTAGTTGAGGGTATGATCAGCTGAATATAACATGGACACACATATTGTAGTTGAGGGTATGATCAGCTGAATATGCACACAATGCATCAGGTTAACCTAGTTTATCAAGGGAAAACTCACTGCATCTGGGCTAGACCAAGTTCCATTACAT